ATAGGGATACAATGCCAAAAACAAAATAATCCCTGCCCATGAAGACTTTACGTTCTACTGGAGGGAAACAACATTTATGCTGATGAGTATATACAAAATAACACATAATGATTTTAAAAGGAAGAGAGAGTTAGCAGCTATGGGATTTAGCAAAACTCTTTCTTGTGTGGGAGATGAACCTGAATATGAAGGGGCCTAGGGAGTCCAAGAGGCAGAAGTGAGGCAAGAATGTATCTGAGACATGGAAAACCAACTGTGTAAATGGATAGACGTGGAAGATGGATTAGAGTAGAGAGCATATGAAGGGGAGTAATGTGAAATAAGATTTAAAAGGTAGATGAGAGCCCAATTGCAAGGGACCAGAAATATCAGGCTATGGGTTTTATATTTTATCCTGGAGGCAACAGGGAACCACTGAATATTGTTGAAGATGGCAATGATATCATGATGCAATTGAAAAAACACTGCCTGGCTCTTGAGTCAGGGCACCTGGGTTCAAAGCTTGCATCTGACACAATCAGTGTAACATTGGGCAAGTCATTTAACATCATGGAGCTTCAGTTTCCTCATATGTAAAAATGAGCTAGAGAAGGAAATGGCAAACCATTTCAGTACCTTTGCCAAAAAAATAAAAAATAAATAAGGTCACAAATAGTCAGACATGACTGAAATGACTGAAGAATTACAAAAGGAAGGGGTAGACCAAATGGCTTCTGAGGTCCTTTCCAGATGCATATTTATAAGCTATGAACATTGTCAGATAAGCATTTTAGGAATATCAGTCTGGCAGCATGGTGTAGTTCAGTGATGTCAAGCTCAAATAGAGATGGGGGCCACTAACCCAGACATAAGGATCTCTGTAGGTTCTGTATTGACTTAGTTTTAAAATGTAATTTATCTTTGTTTTGTTATGTTTTTATTTATTTTGTGAAACATTTCCCAATTACATCTTCATCTGGTTCAGACTACACTTGGGAGTGTTGTAGGCTGCATGGGCCCATGTTTGCTACATCTGGTGTAGCTGATGGCTGGCTTCAAAGCCAGGGTTCAGTTCCTGCCTCTGACATATACAATCTGTGCAACCTTAGATAAGTATCTTAATCTTAGGTGCTCTGTCTAGGCAATTCTCCACGGCTATAAAATGCAAAAAAGGGATCAACTTATATTGGTAGAAGGAGTTTGCTGGCCAAGGAGTTCCAGTGAAATCACAGGGGCAATCTCTATCTGGGATTCATGCTTGTGGAAGTAAGAGCCCATTTCAATAGTTCAGGGAAGTATTTATTGTAAAGAGGTATCGTAACTAGGTGTAAAAGAAAAAAAATACAAATAAAACACCCTGAATTTTAGGCACATATCTGCCAGACACAATCTTTTCCCACTTAACATTATTATAAATTCAAGCATTTCTATATTAGAGAGAGAAATGTTCAAACTGGCATTTTCCTAAAGAGAAAAGTATGGAAAAGGTTTTAGATTGGAGGAATATTATTTTCAAATATATTCAGTTGAACTAAAAAAGGTGCTTTTTTAAAAAAAATATGGTTCCACACAAGTCAACAAAGTATTGCTATTATATGGCATAGAAATGCCTTTGTTATGTGGGACATTTCTTTGCAACAGTGCTAAACAAAAGCAAATTTGGCCTGTATTTAAATAGAACTGTACTATTTGTTAACCTGCTTATTCATCCATCTCCTTTCTTCTGCCTGACATCTTACCTCCGTAGGGGGAAAACCAGTGACTAGCTTCTCTCAGTATGTCTCTCTCTATTCCCCACCTCTAATCCCAGTCAGTTTGTGGAGTCTTTTATTTCCATAGGTACCATATAATGAAAGAACTGAAAGGAAGACAAAAACTAGTCATCTATCTGTGTAAACCAAAGATAAAGAAAGGCTTGCCGAACATATACAGACAGGTTGAGCAGGATTCAAAGGCAGTAAATAATTGCTTTGAGAACCTTTGAACATATGTTTCCCCTAAAGCAAACCCATTTTTTTCCCCAAATATGAATTTCATGTAGGAAGAGAATAAACATTTATAGAATGCTTTGAAGATGAAAAGCTACTTATAAGAACAGAAACTGATGTCTCTATTTTCCAAATGCCAAATCCCTGAAAGGATTATTTCTGAGAACAGGTCTCTAAACTCAAAGCAATTTGTCAGTTTTGAAAACACAACAACAACATGAGAACTTTAAACATATTGCAGCAAGTCGTCTATAAAACAGTTCTGGCTGAGAGAAAAGGACAGAGGAAGATGGATTTTATTTTTTTGTTTTTGTTTTTTTTTTAGGCAATTGGGGTTAAGTGACTTGCCCAGGGTCACACAGCTAGTAAGTGTCAAGTGTTTGGTCTGAGATTGGATTTGAACTCAGGTCCTCCTGACTTTAGGGCCGGTGCTCTATCCACTGCGCCACCTAGCTGCCCCAATGGAGGTGGATTTTAAAGAAAGCAGTGGTTAGAAAGCAGAAGTGGACAAGCAGAGCAGAGTTGAAGAAGATTTACTAGTATCATAATGGAGTAATAATCATAACATGTCATTTATGTCATACTTTAAGATTTGCAATGTATTTTGCAAATATTATCTCATTTGATCCTGACAACAACCCTGGGAGATAGGTATTATTATTATTATTATTATTATTATTATTATTATTATTATTATTATTATTATTATTATTATTATTATTCCTATTCTACAGATGAAGAAACTGAGGCAGACAGTTTAAGTGACTTGCCTAGGGTCACATAGCTAATAAGTGTCCACGGCTGAATTTGAACTCAAGTCTTTCTAACCGGCAGCTAGGTAGCACAGTGGATAGAGTGCCAGGCCTGGAATCAGAAGGACTCCTCTTCCTGAGTTCAAATTTGTTTCCAGACACTTACTATTTGTGTGATCTTGGGCCAGTCACTAAACCTTGTTTGCTTTAGTTTCTTCATCTCTAAAATGAGCTAGAGAAAGAAATGGAAAACCACTCCAGGATCTTTACCAAGAAAACCCCAAATGGGGTCACAGAGAGTTGGACACGACTGAAGAATGGCTCAACAACAGCTTTCTGACTCCCTGTCCAGCATTCTATTCACTGTGATAGCTGATAAGGATACCTCGGCTTTGACTCCAATTTTACCCATTAGTAAGTTTCACAGAATTTCAAAGATGGAAAGAACCTGAGATGCCATCTAGTCCAGCATTTATGTGAATAAGAATTCCTTTTTCCACATCCTTAAAAAGTTATGACTCCGTCTCTGTTTGGAGAGGAGGGAGAGCCCACTAGCTTATGACTCAGCCCAACCTTTGAACGGTTCTTTTTGTCAGTGAGGTTTTCCCACTGTCAAGCTGAAATCTACTTCTCTTCAGCTTCCACCCCCTTATTCTTAGTTTTGGCCTTGGAAGCCCTATAATCACAGATCTGGAACTGGAAGGTACCTCAGAAGCAGCTAGTCTGACTTCTTCATTTTGCTGATGATGAATCTGAGGCTGAGAGATATTAAGGGATTGGCCCAAGGTCACACAGATAGTAAATGTCAGAGGCAGACTTTGAACTCAGGGCTTCTGTTTCCAGGGCCAGTGTTCTTTCCATTGTAACATACTGCCTTCCACAGAAAACAGAGAACAGTACACAGTGAATAAAGAACTGAACTTGGATTCAAGAAGACCTGAGTTCAAATTTCGTCCCAGACACTTGCTAGCTGGCTAGCCTAGCACAGAATTTGGTTTATTTGCTTGTTTTGTTTTGGTGACTGTGCCTGCTACCAACACATATTAAGCTTGCAGTCCACTAAAAAAACAAACAAGAAAAAAAACCTCATCTTTTCTCCAAGAACTGGTGTCTTTCCTTCCTATACTATACTTTTCAAGTTGATTTTTTGAAAAATCTAACTGTAAGTACTTTGCACTTTTGTCTCTTAAATTGCACGCTGTTGGGTTTGGCTCACAATGAGAGCCTCTCAAGACCTTTTTGGATCCTGATTGTCATTATTGAGTTCGTTATCTACCCCTCCCATCATGGTATCAGCTATAAATTTGACAAGCATACTTTCTATGCCTTACTCCAAGCTATTGATAAAAATGTTGCACACAGGGACAAGGACAGATCCTTGGAGCACTCCACTAGAAAATACCTTCCAAGGGGACATCACCTCATCGATGGATGCCAACTGGTCATTCATTGAATCCATCTAACCATACTACCATCCAACCTATCTTTCTCCACCTTGTACATAAGGAAAATATGAGAAAATTTATAAAATGACATGTTGAAATCTAATTTTATGATGTCTTTGACATTCCCATGACTATCAGTCTTGAACCTCTGGGATCAAATATAAAATCCTTTGTTTGACATTTACAGCCCTTCATACTTGTCCTTCTCCCTCACCCCACCCCCACTTTTCCAATCTTTTTATACTCTATACATTCTATTCTTCAATTCAGTGACACTGGCTTCCTTGGTCTTCCTTGAACAAAGCACTCCATCCCTACTCCAGGCATTTTCACTGGCTGTCTTCCATGCTTGAAATGCTCTCCCTCTTCATCTCCACCTCCTGCATTCCTTGACTTCCTTGAAGTTCCAGATAAAATCCCACCTTCTCCAGGAAGCCTTTCCTTCACTCCCTTAATTCTAGTGTCTTCCATTGCTAATTTCCAATTTAACCTGTACATAACTTGTTTGTGCATAGTTTGTCCCATTCATTAGACTGTGAACTCCTTGACAGCAGGGCCTGTCTTTTACCTTTCTTCATAAACCCAGGACTTAACATTATGTACACCACATAGTAAGTGTTTAATAAATGTTTACTGACTGGCTGAGATTCAATTCAAAAAATATTTGTTAACCACCTACTATGTGTCAGAAGTGAGGTGAGTCTGACACGACCTGGTCTTGATGAAGCCACATTGCTTTTTAATAATCATAGCTTCCTTTTTCAAACACTAACAAACTATTCCTTTAGTTTTCAGCATTGCAGAATTTTGCCAGGAATAGAAGTTGATACCAGTGGTAAAGCATTTCATTTAAATTTATTTTTGGTAGGCCTCTTTGGGTTTTTAAATATCCCCAAAGCCCAAAAGGAATCTAAGCAAATTGATGAGATTTAGAAATGCAAATAGATTTACAAATAAACAACAGATGAGTCCATAAATAATTTGCCAAGTAGGAACAATTCCATTCCATCAGTCGGCAGAAGCCTAAACACAGAATTGGGCATTTGCACTGTTCTTGAAAACTAACAAGCTAGTTATCATGGGACTGCAAGAAGAAGCAAACCTCAGAATCATGGATCTTTCTTGGAATGTTATCAATTAAATCTCTGGTTCTTCAAAGTTGAAATCTTCAGATCACCATCAATTAATTATTAATTAATAAACTGATTAATAAATAAAGATAATAAAAATGTTCTTTTCATTCCCTGTATTTCATCAACTTTTCCACAACTTAGCTTACTGAAGAAATATCAGTTCCCTTCTTCCTAAGGGTCAATAGTTATTCTTTAGATTTTTTTCAGCAGTTCATCCAGTTCTTTAACTGCTTTCATGTATATTCTAAGCAAGATACAACATATTTGCAAGGGGCATATTCTCCATCAAATAAAAAACACAGGTATTTTCCAAAAAGTAAAGTCCAAATTGTCCAAATTCAGTCTACTCCTTTGATTTTCTCAAAAGGTTAACCTGTGAAAGGCAATTATAAGGAAAACATTATTCATACAAAGCATTTGTTATATACAATTTATTCGGTAATTATAATCAAATGTAATTTAGAGATGGATATTTACTAAGCTTAGACTATTCATCTAGAGAGACTTCAGTATTGGGATCCACCTCCTGGTTCTCTTTTGTTCAATTTTATTTCACTTGTCTTGGTTACACAAGATCACAAGACTATAAAAAGCCTCCCTCCTCCCTTTGTTTAATGAAAGGTCTTTGAGAATTTAATAAGAAACAGCCAGACAATATTCCCAAGACTTAATTCTTTTGTAATTTCAACCTTCATGATGGCTAACAAGTAGATCCACAAGAAATTTTCTTCCCCTAGAAACTCCCATATTTTAGGAATTTTTCTGACTCTTCTTGGTCCCCAAACCAAAGTTTCTAAGTGGATATTTGGTTCCTCAGATTTAATCAACAAAGTCACTCTGCTAAAGAGTCAGACTGTCCAATCTCCTTTCCACTGGAGTGAATCCAAAATATATTTACAAGGTTTGATCATCTAGAGAAAAGGCAGCTTACAAAGGACAAGTCATCTCTAGGGCCCTTTCCAGCTCTAAATACTACAATCCATTCCATTTGAGTCCAAAGCAGTACAAAATACAATGCCTCCTTAGGGCACTATCTATTCTGTAAATCTCACAGATTTATTAGTAGGACTTTAATGGAACCACCTATATTACTTTTTAAACTAAGGGGACTTGTTAGTCGAGACAGTTCCAGATTTCACATTGTTGTCCAAGTCTGTATTGGAAGCCTGTAGGTCTGCCCTGAAACAATCATCTGCCTGTTGGATTCAGTCATGTGCAGGGATTTCTAAGCCTCTGGCAGAACTTTATTTCTGGGCTCTCCCAAGACATTTGACTCACCCATCCCCCAAATCTTCCAGATCTCAGGATTTTTTCATCAAAGGATTTCACCTGAGCAACTGAAGCCTAAGAATAATTCCTTGCCAACATTTGCTCAGAGTTTTTTGTCTTCTTGCACTCAGATATTTAACGTATGGCTGTAGCCATACTGGTCACACTCTGGGCTCAGCCCTCATTACACAAAGAAAGATCTGCTTCCGTGATTTTTTCTCATGACGCAAGAGTGAGAGAGGTAGAGCCCCATAATTAAATCCTCTTCACAACTGACCACAGCTGATTTCATTCTTCCACAATTGGGGAATGAAAAATCAATTTGCCCATAATCCGAAACAGTAGACTTTCCACCATGTAAAGCAAATCATGCTCACCTGACAGGCCAAAGAGTGTTGAAATTATAGAGCAGACTTTCTATTTAAATTTTTTATTTAGATTTAACATAGCGACAGATCCTTTTAAGCTCTGAGTCTAGATACTTTATTTTTATTCAGTGATGTGGGCCTACATAAATCCCTTGAGCTATCAAGCACCCTATAATCAGAGGCACTTAACTAACATACTAGTATGGGCCATAGATCTATTTCCTTAAGGTTGCTTTCTATTTTGGGAATAGAGGTCCACAGAAATTCTCCTATGAAACCTGCTGACTGCAGCATTAGATACAAATACATGTGGAATACATTCATCTGGATTTTCAGGCTAGAGAACTTAGTAAATTGTTTTTAATACTTTAAAAAAATAAATCCTTAGTGAATATTACACTTATTCTCCCTTCCTTACCCTTTGACAGAAGCAACTATTAGTATGCAGTTTAAAATCTAAAATGATGGTTCCAACCAGGGATACAGTGCCCAGGGATGAATTGGAGTCTTTAGGGACACATAGAGTTTAACAAATGAAAAGATTGGTTTATCGATCAGTTGTGGCACTCTGAAGAAATATTGATTTTATTGCATGTCATCTAATTCATATGAAACTGTTTTTCCAAGGTCACTATCTTTTGCCTCCTGTGCACACGGCAAATGTAATTTTGAGTAAAGCGTAGCTTTGTTTCTCCTCCATAGTGGTACATGGTTACCTCACTGTGGTCTGGAGGTGACCTTGGCTTCTCACAAACTACAGAAGCTGGAAACATTTTGAGTACTGGTGTTAGACAAGTAAACACACAGACTATGCCATTTCTTAGGAAAGAGTCACAGGAATTCTAGCACCTCTCTCATTAACAGGTTTACTTTTGATCTGGTCAGACAGGAAGACAGAAATGGAGTCATAATAAGGGGTTAAATAAGCTTACTTTATTCTAGTTTAGTCTTCTTAAAAGGAATTTGCTGATAATGGGAGCACCAATTCCTATAGCATTCCCTAACAACCCTTCTCTCAGGGGCCGGCATGAAGGAGGGGCAACTAGTCCTCCATCTCAATGGGGTCAATCGAGACCAGAACAACTTGTGCACTCCCCTAAATCCCCTCAAACCTCAATGGGGGGCAGCTAGGTGGCACAGTGGATAGAGCACAGGCCCCAAAGTCAAGAAGACCTGAGTTCAAATCCGGCCTCAGACCAAACACTTCACACTTACTAGGTGTGTGACCCTGGGCAAGTCACTTAACCCCAATTGCCTAAAGAACAAACAAACAAAAACCTTAATGGGGCTGGTTGAGGCAAACACACAAATTCCCCTTTCCAAACACAGCATTCTAGCCTGCACATTCACCCCTAAGGAGGTCCCCAGTCACTGACCAGTGCCCACTTGCTTTATAGAGCAACAGACAAAGAAGGCACATTGCCAGCAATAGCCTTACAATTTTACATTACTTCACCCCTATATCTACTGTGACTGTGCAGTAGAAACTGCTTTGAACCATGTTCATGAGAATTCATATCTAACACCTGGGAAGTAGAGATTGCTATGGCTATGGATCCTGGGAAGAAAACTCTAAGAAAGAATAACTAGAAAATCCACTTTAAATTCACCTTCCACACTAAAATTCACCTTCCTTACAACTGGACATAGAGCTGTTACTAGGGTAGTGTTACTAGGGTAGTGCCACCAGAGCTCTGCCACTGAGGCACTGAAATTTAGGGGGTATTTGTGATTCATAAAAGCAGCATGGAAACATTTGAGCTTGAGATCTAGTTAAAACAATAATTAATTAAAATAGGAAACTACTGGGTAGTCCATTTCTTGCCAGACCCTAGTTGATCCTCTTTCCTCAATACCATGCTTCATACTATGTTCCCCTGTCACTGCTCCTAGGGGAAGGTATTGGGAACCTTTGGGGTGCACACACACAAACACATTCATTTACACACCCCAATTGAATTTGTCTTGTTGATTTGAAGTTTATCACTGCTTGCCCTCTGGTGTCTCTTACAAAGCTTGCCCAGGTCTGAAAAACTCTAGTTGTATTTTTGATAGTCCACATGACAGTGTTTCTAAGTGCCAGCTTAATTAAATTCAGGGAAGCCTTTCGCCAGAAAGATAGTCACCACTGGTGGTCTTCGTTTGTTTTTTGATTACTTGGAGCCCATAATTCATTATACTGTATTATAAGCCTGGGGAATAGCTACCTGTATGGGGGATGGAGTACTCACAGGGATAGGATCATAAATTCTTGAAGTATTACAATATACATAGTTTTACCCACTTACTTTGGTAATAAAAAAACTGAATACTCACTCTCTGTGTATATTGATCTTTCCGACTCACTGTGGAAAAAATGTTCTAGTTCTGATATGGGAGGAAGTGCTTCTTTTGCCCCTGTGAAAGTGGAGGGCCCCCTCTGCTTGGTCGCTCCTGGTTTACAGAAGAAAGCTGCTTTAATTCATATTGGTCAAGGGTACCTCAAGTCGAGCAAATAATGATGATGACAACAATGATGAAAATGATGACAATGAAAATGACAACAACAATAAAATAATAAACAGCTAGTGTGATAGAGGAAGAATGCTCAGACTTCCCCTTGCTGGTGGGTCATATACAGCATGTGCAGATTCCAATCCAACACATGGAAATTGGGAAACCGATTTCCAGCCATGTTTGACTGACAGGCTGGTACTGGGTTTGGAAAAGAGCTCTTTTAATTGGCTGCAGAGCCAAAATTCCATGAATATACCAAAAGCATGATCTGCCCCCTCAGGGTTGCTCTTTCTTTCTAACTTTGAAGTATGAAGACTGTTTGGAGCTGCATTCAGTAGAGTGGGTTGAGGACATGGCAGAAGCCTCATCCCCTAACTGGGTCCACACAGCCAGGACCATGTCTTATCCAGGCAAATCTCTGCCTAAGATGAGGCTGCCTCTCTCTTCTTGTGTTTCCTTCCCAAAGCAGGTGACTGAGTCACAACCTTGAGATAGGAAGAGGAAAGAGAGGGAAGAAAAGAACAAGCAATTATTAAGTGTGCCAGGCACTACATTAAGCACTCTACAAATATTATCTCATTAGATCTCACAACAACCCTGAGAGGTAAGTGCTATTATTATCCCCATTTTATAGCTGAGGAAACTGAGACAGATAAAGACTAAGTGACTTGCCCAGGATAACATAGCTAGTAAGTGTCTGAGACTGCAATTTGAACTCAGGTCTTCCTGACTCCAGGCCCAGAGCTCTATCCACTATGTCACCTAGCTCCTTGGGACAAATCCAGGTGAACTTGTGGGTTTCAGGAGGTCAGGAGGTCCTAGGAGGCCAGAGAAGTAGTCACTGCAGTGTCTACTGGAGTAACCAGTTGCAGACTGATGCCAAGGGAAGAGTCAGAGTCGAAGAGAGAGTAGCCGCTGAAAAGACCACTCTTGGATTATGCTTGGTAATTGATCAAACTGTGCTCAGTAGGGATGAAATGTGAAATAGCTAATTAGCAGAAATGCCAAACTGCATTGTCTTGATGAAGCCTCCTACCAACTTCCAGCAGATTTTAATCTGGCTACAAATTAAATTTCTGAATCCTGTTTAAATTGTTCTGTTAATGTAACTATGAGTCTCATGCTTACAGTTGCTTTCTGTGTGAGAATAAAATGACCTGTCCTAGCCCTGATTTATATGATGCATTAGTACCTATTTTACTCTGGCCTCTTTTCCATTTTGGGGAAACCCTTGACTAGAGCCAAAGATAGAATTGTACCCAAAGTAGCCAGGATTGAGGGGTTATGAGCCAAAGAATATGAGAATTGGGGAGTCTATTCCCTTATTGAGAAGCCAGATCACTCCAGAGCTGAGATCTGGGCAAACCACCATGGTAGGTAAAGGACAGCAAATGGAAAAAGTCACCAGACCTTGTGGCCCGCTAAGCAGTGCCTAGGTGAGGCACTAGACTAGGTGAGCTTTTATTTAGCACTTTAAAGTTTACAAAAGACCTCACATGTTTTCTTACTTGATCTTCACAACAACCCAATGAGACGGTTGCCATTATTATCTTCTTTTTCTAGAAGAGGAAACTGAGGCTAAGAGAGATTATGTTGGCTTGCCTAGGGTCACACAGCTAGTGTCTAAGGCAAGGTCTGAACTCAGGTATTTTTGATGCCAAATCCAACTCTCTATCCACTGCTTCCCCTACCTTCTTCAAATACCCTACATTCTAAAATGAATAGCAAAAGCTCTTTTTGTGGTGGCAAATAATTAGAAACTGGGGTAATGCCTATTAATTAGGGAATGGCTGAACAAGCTATGTATATGATTGCGATTGAATATTATTGTGCTGTAAGACATGATGAAAGGGATGGTTTCAAAAAAAAACTCTCAGAAGACTTATATGAACTGATACAAAATAAATGATCAGAACCTGGAGAATAGTATACACACATATATATAGCAATATTGTAAAGCTAAACAACTGTGGAAAACTTAGTAATTATGATCAATACAATGATCCACAACAATTCCAAAGAACTGAATATAAAAAAATGTTATCTATCTCCAGATGGATAACAGATGGACTTTGAGTGTAGATTGAAGCATATTTTTTCTCTTTATTTTTCTTGCTTTTTTTCTTTTTGCAACAAGCTAATGTGGATATATGTTTTGCATGACTGCATATGTACAATGAACATCATATTTCTTGCTTTTTCCAAGGGTGGGGATAAAGGGAGGGAGAGAAAGAATTTGGGACTGAAAATATTTTTTAAAGACCACCAAAAAAAGAAAAAATTAAAGTGGATAACAAATACATGTAAATATGTTCTTCCTTCAGGTTCAGAATTAGACGCATGCAAAAGAACTTGCATCAGCTTACCCAACAGGATTAGAGACATCATAATGTTATGGAAAGAGTATTGGTTTTGGAGTCAAGGGATCTACAGCTTATATTCTGCCTCTGTCACTACCTGTCTTACCTTGGGCAAACCATCTAATCTCTCTCAGCCTCATTTTCCACATCTATAAAAATGAAAGGACTGTACTATGAGTTCTCTAAGGTCCCTTCTAGCTCAAAATTTATGTTCCCATAATCATAAAATTATACTATCTCTTTCCTTTTAAAGGCACTCAGTGACCACTTTTCAAGATATCTCAAAGAGGGAAGATCCTCCCTAAACAGAAAAGGTAACAGAGAGTATTAACACACAAAAAACAGACCAAGTGTCAAGAGTCATTGGTAACAACTGACATGTATACCTATTTTATCTTTGATAATTTATAACCATAGAGGTAACTTTAGTTAATGATTCTTTATCAATATCAAGCCAAGCATAAAACAGGGAGATTCTAAAAATATTTCTCCCTCTTATGGAGAATAGCCTGCATGAAGTTCAAATGGAAGAATTACCTTTAGGTGATGAGGTTCTACTGATACTCATGTTTGCAGATGACATTGCACTGATTGCATTGAGTCCCAGAATAATTCAGGGCTTCTTAAATGAGACTAAGAGCACTCAGAAAGGCTGACCTAGTAATCTACTTGGGAAAAAATTCGGTTGAAAAATACCTAATTAGGTAGACTATGAAATGCAACTGGATACAGCCCAATATCTCAAATGAGGTCATTACTACATGTATTTTGGGCAGGCACTGTAAATGAACAATGAGCTGGGTCAAAAAAATTGAATAAGAAAAAGAGAGCAAACTGGTCACATTTTGGAAACTGCCTGTTTCTTTCAAGGATTCCCAAATACCTTCTGCCTCTAGAGTCTATCATTTTAAATTTAATAATCTCCCAGCAATATTCTGTGGCTACAAATTTTGGAATACTACAGTCTCAGAAGAATTAAACTTTCAGGTGAATCCAAAGGGCATTGGAAAGACATATGTTTGGTGTAGTTGGTACGTTGTATTAACAAAGATATCTTGCATTCAAGCAATATTTTAAGAAGCATTCTCACAGACATCTATACAAATGTAAGGTATCAGTATTAGTAGTAGGAGCAATAGTATTAAGACAGAAAGCAAGACAGAAAGTTTGGTCGAAAAAACTAAAATCTAATAAAACTCTAGAACAAACTATTGAAGGAGAGAGATTTTAACATCTCTATCTATAGATGTTTAAAAATAGAACAAAACCACCTGTTTTGGAAGATTTAAATAATTTGCTAGCATCTAGATAGTGCATAGGCTGCTGCTGGACCTGAAATCAGGATGTTAAATCCTGCCTCAGACATTTACCAGCTGTGTAATCCTGGATAAGCCACTTACCCACTGTCTGCCTCAGTTTCATTATCTGTAAAACGGGGATAATAGCTATACCTACCTCCCAGGGTTTTGAGGACCAAATGGGATAATATTTGTAAATTATTTTGAAAACTTTAAGGGCTATGTAAATGCTAGCTATCATTATTATATAGATTTAAAGTGTTTTGGAAAAAAATCAAGTATAAAATGATTATCAGTTACTATTATTTAGAGAAGTTTACAATTACAAAGTACCAAGAGTACTTGGAAGAAAAGTGACACCTGTCAAAACCAAGGCTAAGCCTGAATTCTGAGTATGAACCATTGTTCCTATACAGAAATAATCAAAAGATACCCTGATGTGCCTTCAGTTTTTATTTTCTTTTAATTACTCTCAATGTCTCTCGAGAGAAAAGGGATGCATCACCTCATTCTATTCTGGGAGCTGCAGCTCCAAGACACATGATGTGATAATATTTAAAACTCTACAAAATTTGACCAAAAGCAAAATATGAGCTGTCTTTCTAGTTCCTTTTTTTGAGAATATGTGAGATAAGCAGGTTTCTTTTAAAAGTCTAGAGTGATAAGTTTCCCTCTAAAAATTGCTTTAAAAAAAAACCACTCTTATCCTCCAATACCATTAATTCTCTACCACTAATGCAATACATCTCTCTTTGGGCAACAGAAACAGTCAAGAATATTCAAGGACTTCACAGAGGAATGGTCAGCACTATGAATCAAACAGTTCTTTGAATTTTTCAGAGGGCTCCAAAGAACTAGAAAAAAGGAACAGTCTCCGGCACTGTTTTGCTTGCCCTGCCTGAATTTAGCTGATAAAATAATTTTCTCAGCAGTGAAGCCTTTGATTAAAAATAAGGTTCCATTCCTATTATGTTCTCAGATAAAGCCCCAGTCACTGCCACTGGCAAGATTTTTATTTTCTCCATGTTTAATTCTGTTTTCAGAGTTAACTTTGTGAAAGGGGATGGAGGTAGGAGAGGGAATTGAAATCTTTGGCCTCTGGCCTTCTGTTTTCTAGTCCCAATTCATCATATCATGTTTTCGTGTCCATTGAGTAAATATTCCTGTCCTTTCCTTCCATCTTGTTCTTAAAGATTTAGGAGTTAGAGACAAGGAAATACAATCACCACAGCCATACTAAGTTTCTCTGTGCCAACTTCTCACCTCTGTTACTGCTGAT